GGCTGGTGATGAAACGTTTGCAAACAAATTGCCAAGCTCGGCGAACAGGCAAAATGGAAATCTGTGTGGAATATTGCATGATGTGTACGCGATAAGACAATAGGCGCCCGTGTATCTGTAAAACGTGCGAACCAGCAGTTGTTTCGATCTAAACATTTGTAGCACTGGAGTTTTGTGCGTCCGCTAGATGAATCTGTCCTCGGGAGTGCTATACAATATACACCATAGAACGTGGATCTTTGTTTTGGGCAAAACGTATCCACCATGATAGTCGTCAATTCAATAAAATGCATGTTTTCAAATCTCATTGGGCTTCGTTGCGGTTAATGAATATGTTTTCTCTTCAATGTAGTCTGCTTCTGAGTAACCACTTACACGCTGACAGAGTGGAGGTAATATTAAACTGCCAGTAGTGCTGCTCTGAATCGAAGGTTGGTTATAGTCGAAATCTGTATGAAGCTCTTATGTCATGTGAGTGGCACAAAAGAATTGAACTTCTTGTTATTATTGGCGCACTCTCTCTTTGTTAAGATGTTTTTCGGGACAGAAAGTTGTTGAGAAATGTCCGGGATGGTCAAAATGTAATTTGACACAAAAGAGGNAGGGAAAACCTTGGTCAGAGGCTTCCGTCGCGTAGGTTCTGTTAGACACCCTGTTTCGGGACCTCCTAACCAATCTAGTCAGAGGTTGAGAATGCCGAGCGATCTGGCTGAGTATCGTAAACAGTGGCACTCCCGCACCTACTCATTTCTTGGTAATAATAATTTTCCATTGCCTTTTATTGAATATGCAACTGCACGAATAGTTTTCGAGTGAACTGCGGCGATTTTGGCACTTTGTGAGGCCACATATAGAAAGGGGAGCAGTTCACCAGCGGCGCCGGGATTCAAGTTCTCCATAGTTGGCTCACTGGAATGACGACCTTAACCTATGGTCCGATGTTCGAGCCCCGCCATCGCCACCCGACTTTGGTGGTAGGCAGATCTGCTGTCGTCCGGTTCAATACCACGCCTAACCTATCGGGGCCTTATGTGGTTCGTCACTCCAAGTTCCGGGGCTTAGGTTGCCGATTTCAACTACTGAACAGCAGGTCCTCGTGACTATGGGGTTTACCTCGTCTGCTGTTCATCACACCTAGGTGTGTGATATAAAAAAACACCGCTTGACCATTACCACCAATAATCCTGTTCTCTGCATTTTATTTATTTATTTTTAATGCCTCATCCTTCATCGGTTGACTAGATGTGTAAGTGTTTAGCAAAATCAGTACACGAAAACTCCAGGTTCCTAGTTGCACAAACTGAAATCGAACTTATGACTTCTGTACCTGTTCGTATTCTTCGATGTGGCTAATTTTTCGCCTTTTGTTTCAGAGCTTATTTACCTTCTGAGTCTCGTTGATAGCCACTCACTGACCTCTACTCACGTTGCGGGAAACGTTCTTTTTATCTTTTCCGTTTTAGTTCTGTCCACGTGGTCAGTGTTTGACAAAAGTCAGCATCGATCCTCACGGACTTACTAACCGGATTGAAGTTCACCGGGTCAGTCAAGTCTCGCCCCGATTCACCTTGACTCCGGTCTGTCGATGTCCGCCACATTTTACCGGTTTACGCTGTGATATCCCGATGGATGGCTGTGCTCTGGCCAAATGCCCGTCACCTCGGATTTGTGTGCCAGAAGGCAACCTGGATAGTCATTTGTGCCTTTGTCCACCCCCGCGAACTGGACCAAATTGTGAATCTGTGGAACCGATCGGGTCCAAAGATGCTTGCTTCTCCGTCGAATGTTTCCGTGAGCGAGGTCAGTCTACCTGGGGATTGGGGATTGTGGTCTGTTTGGTCATCGTTCTTCATCAGTATTTTCATCACCCTAATCTTGCTGTATTTTTCGCAAAGAATACCCACTTCTTTTGGAGGTACTACGTACTGCGCAGTCAAATAAATGTATTGGAACATCTAGTTGGAATATGGTTGCACAAAATGAATCGTGGTTCTCCAAACCGCACGGAGGCTCGTATCGGTACTAGCTGCCAGTCGATTTACGTGAACCATTCAGTACTTGGAACTGCAAGTCAATGCAACTTGTGCGTTCAACTTAATAGGCCGGTTTCGAACGGTCTACTTGGTTTACAACGAACTGCGCAACCGTTAGTCATCAGCCGCGACGTTCGTCAAGGGTGCCCTCTGTTGCCATTCTTGTTCAATTTCGTCGTGGAAAAAAATCTGGAGAACGCACTAAAAGGTTTCCAAAAGTAGGTATTGAATGGACAGCTGGAGGAAAACTGTGCTAGTTAGAGTACACCGTTGACATCGTCGGTCTGTTCGAATGTTTCTAGGACTCGCAAAGCGCAATTGATAGACTAATAAGTGTTGTTGCCACAGGCGCTATGTGCTTTGTATCTTCAAAGTGCAAAATGATGCTGCAAGACCGGGTGTCACCTACTCCCGCTCTGAAACTAAATGGCCAGGAATTAGTTATGGTGGATTGGTATTGCTTTTCAGGTAGTTGTGTGACCACTAACCGTAGCGCAGCAAAAGAGATAACCACACACATTTCCAAAGCTCGAGCAGCGTATGCAGGACTGAAGCACGACGCGACGTTTCACCGAAGTTGAAAGGTCGTGTATGTTGTACCGCTGTCGTTCAGTTCTGCTTAACGGTTGTTAGACCTTCAATTTGCGC